AGGTCTTCCTGGCTCTCACAATCCCAGCAGCACCCGTGTCTGACCGAGGTAAAGCTCCTTCCCGAGGGGGACAGGGTCCATGTGTCCTTGCAACCGTGTGGGTCAGGAGTCTTTCAGCATCAATAGCCAGTAGAAGCAGTAATAACACCTTCAGCAACAGGGAACTCTTCACATCCCCCCACTCCCAGCAATCCCATTATCTGAAACAGGGTAGATTAAAATAACTGGGCTTCTGTAGTGATGGCCAGTTCCCTGGCGACCACAGTCCATACAGCCCCACCCACTGGCTTTTAAACTAAATAATTCCAGAATTGGGGACACAATCGGATATACCCAAGATGAAAAGAAACCCAAAATTAGCTATTTCAGGTTGGTTCGGGGCAGTGTTCCCTCTAAGCTGAGTTAGAGCTCACAGTTTTTTAGCCTCTGGCTCCAGAGCATACTAATTCATGCAGTGGCCAAATCGCTCACTCACAACTTCAATGCCAGGAGCTCACAAAGTAGAATTTTTGCTCACAAGACTCCACAGCTTAGAGGGAGCATTGGTTCGGAGCTATCTGAAACAACCCAAAACACTCCCAAATGTGGGAAGTAACAGTAACTTATCTCCAGGAATTTCAGGACTGTTCTGGGTTTTGAGCACCAGGAGCCAGGAGGGAGGCAGAGGACCATGGCCGGCCCAATGGCAGCCCCCCCCCCCCGGAAAATAATGGCCCTTGAAAATGTAAAGGGACTGGAGACAGCAAGTAATGGATGATTGGGCACACTTGTCCTTGGAGGCGTGGACTACCACCCATTGAAAATAATGGTCCCCTTCTTTCTTATAGGCAGTTTGGAGGCCAGGTCTACCCATGGAAAATACTAGTCCTTTAAAACACAAAGGGAGGAAGACTCCACCAAACAGCTTCCCCTCCCTCCCTCCCTCCCTCCCTGCTCCTGTGTCCTCCTGGGGTGGGGAGGGGAATGGGGAGCAACTGTTAAAATGGTCCTGAATTTTGGGGACCGCCCCCCAATAAAACCCTGAAAACATCCTGAAACAGTAAGAAGAGTCCCAAAAATTTAGAATAATGCACATATCTTGGAGGGTTGATTTAAAAGTTCCAAATGCCTTCCCAAATTTGGAACTGAAGATTTTTATGTACACACCCCTATTTCAGAAAGAACTGCTCTCACTGTAATGACATTTTAGCAGTATAATTCTAGATCCTTAAACAAATGATGCTGGATTTGTATCCTGTTTTTAAATGCTGCCTCACTTTTTGATTGGTTGTATTGTGCATTATGTATTTTCATCGAATTTCCTTAATTGACACTTTCAGAGCTTACGTCATGTGGTGTGCTTTATAGTGGTATTTTAACGTTATCGTTAAATTGCTCTAAATGAGGTGAATAAATGTGCAGGGGGGGCTGTGGGGCCAAGCTCTGCCCTGACCTGTGCTCATAATGGTCGAACATATTCTGGAGTGTTTGGGTAAAAATACAAATTAGCATGCAGATAATAATCTCTCTCTCTCTCTACCTGAAGAAGTGACTGCAGTGACTCACAAAAGCTCCTGCCCTGCCACAAATCGGGTAAGTCTTTAAGGTGCTCCTGGACTCTTTTCTGCTGCTACAGACAGACTAACACGGTGACCCACCCCGTAAAAGCAGGGTTCCTGATTACACACAGGGACCCACCTGGGTACACAGTGAACATGCAAAGTCAGGGGCGGACCTTCATGCTGCCCACGTGCCCACACCTCCCAGCCCAAGCTCGTTCTCCTCACTCAGAACTTCTGAAAATACCCCTGTAGGAATGCCTCTGTAGAAAGGAGATGAACGCATGCATCTATAAATAATATACACATGGCCCAGCAAGCTGTACACAGCTCTCTAGCCATGCCCTGGTAGGAGTTTGGGAAGTGCCCTGTCGTGATGGGAGTCACCAAAATCAGGAGGGTTCACAAACCCCAGCAAGCCACTGGATGAGGCTGATGGACCACACTAAGCTGGCCCATTTCCATGGTCCCCAGGGCCCATGGCCAGGCATTTCTGGCTTGTGGGGCATTTTTTTTTTCTGGTGGGGCTGAAGTTCTCTGTGCAGAAAGAAAAGCCTTTTGGCCAATAGAAAGCTGTTACTGTGACACAGCTCTCTAGCCATGCCCTGGTAGGAGTTTGGGAAGTGCCCTGTCGTGATGGGAGTCACCAAAATCAGGAGGGTTCACAAACCCCAGCAAGCCACTGGATGAGGCTGATGGACCACACTAAGCTGGGCCATTTCCATGGTCCCCAGGGCCCGTGGCCAGGCTTTTGTGGCTTCTGGGGCATTTTTTTTCTCTGGTGGGGCTGAAGTTCTCTGTGCAGAAAGAAAAGCCTTTTGGCCAATAGAAAGCTGTTACTGTGATAGATCTCTAAATCGCAAGCTGTCAACCACTTTAGATGACAGTTCTCAGCTGCTGCAAGTTAATCAGTTCTGCCAGCCTAAGCAACCATTCTGATAACATGCAGGCAAGGTGGGGGTGATGACTTCTATAGTCGAGAAAACTAACACTTAGGCAGAAAAACTCTCTTAAAGGAGACCAGTTTCTTGACACAGAGTTAGAAGGGATCCTAGAGGTCATCTACTCCAATGCCCTTGCTCAGTGCGGGAATTAAGTCAACTACAGCACGCCACTCTGTTGAAAGGAGCGCATGCCATTAAAAATGTTTTTAAATGATTGAAAAAAAGCACTTACAGGAGAAATTATTGTGGGGTTGTGCCTTTAAGAAAGGGGCGGAGCCCCCAAAGGCCCACCGTAGCTATGGGCCTGACAATACCCCACCTAATTTCTCAGCTCTCAGCTTAAGAAGGGCCTAAGGAATTCATCCTAAAGCAGTTTTACTCCCTGTCAAGATAAAGAAAGTGCCTCTGGTCTCTTCGTCCTTGTTAGGTCAAAGGACTGACTTATTGTCTTCATTTCATTATCTGAAATGGTGTTCAACAACTCCACTGCTTGTTCACCTGGCTCCAAGCCAGATCCACAGTAAGCATCTAAGCTGCAGAAGAAGTGAGATGGCCCCCAAAACCTTCCACCTTCGATCCGATAAGCATTACTTCCAAAACGTTATTGGCAAGATCCAAGCTGCTAGATCAAAGCACAAAGCCCTGCAAGAACCTGACTCCTCAGCATCCTTGGAAGTCATACACTTTGGAACTTACAAATCAACCCACTGAAAAATCTTCAATCTGCCTTCAAACTCAAAATATGACCTGATATTGTCTGCAATATATCTTTATGAATGCAATTTGAATAAATGCACACATTAGAGTGCCTAATAATAAAACCCAGTTTCAGTGGTTAACTTGTAGCATTCAGTGTAGCAAAGTGCTTTCATGACAGTTTCAAACACTAGCAGGCTGAGTTAACCGACATAAGAAAACAATAGGAAAATGTTGCCTCTGATCCGAACATTAAAGCAAACCAAGCAGTTCATGTT